CCAAACCAAGTGAGCTACGAGGACCTAGTCAAGATGCTCAAGGCTCACTTCGATCCACAACCGTCTGAGGTCTTCTGCAGGGCACGATTCCAGCGACGTGACCAAAAGCACGACGAAACGGTCAGTGATTACGTCACGGCGCTCAAGAAGCTAGCAGCAGATTGCAATTTCGGGACAAGCGCAGACACTGCAGCGAATCCGACAATGCTGCCTATGGACGTCATGCTGCGTGATCGTTTCGTTTGCGGTCTTCGGAACGAGCAGGTCCAGCAACGGCTCTTCGCAGAAAAGGACTTGACGTTCAAGAAAGCTTTCGACCTTGCACTGCGAGCTGAAAACGCCATCGAAGACCAGAAACGCGTGAAAAACCGAATTTAAAGAGTTTCACGAATCCTGCATAAGCACATGCAAGATAGACAACCAAGGTCACTCTAGTGCCTCTGCCCAAAAGAAGAAACAACGCTGTTGGCGTTGTAACGCGCTACATAATCCGGACACTTGCAAGTTCCAGACAGTCTCCTGCAACTACTGCAAGAAACGCGGACACATTGAAAAAGCCTGTCTGAAAAAGCGGAAAGAAGCAAAAACGAGCAACAGCATCGAATATCCCCAACAAGGAACTTCGACAGCTGCCTCAGCACCAGTGTCGACTCAGCAGGACTCATCAGACGTGGCCCTTTACGAGCTCAACACCGTAACCAACGCGTTCAGCACACAGAAGGTCATGACTCGGCTACGCGTACATGGCAAGTTCTTGGATTTTGAAGTCGACTCGGGTGCAGCCTGCACACTCATCAGTGAGGTCACGTTCAAAGCTACGTGGACAGATGATCGACCACGGCTTCAGACCGACAACATGCTCCTACGCACATGGTCAGGACAGTCTCTTCGAGTTCTCGGATGTGCAACGGTGATTGTTACGCACGGAAACAAAACCATGACACTACCACTTGTTGTCATCAAGGGAGCAGGTTGTAACCTCCTTGGACGAAACTGGTTTCCTCACCTGGGTATACAGATCACGGGCATCAATGATGTATCCGGCGATGAACTTGTTTCGAAGCTTCTCGACAAGTACCAATCTGTATTCGACGAGGACATATCAGGACACATCGGTCCAGCGGTACAACTAGACCTCGTGGAAGGAGCGAAACCAAAGTTCCTAAAAGCACGGCCGGTTCCTTTCGCGCTCCGGTCAGCTGTAGAAGCAGAATTGGATCGACTGCAAAGTCAAGGCATAATCGAGCCAGCACAGCATTCGGATTGGGCAACGCCTCTTGTACTGGTTCGAAAGAAGAATGGCTCGTTGCGAATATGCGGCGACTACCGTTGCACAGTGAACCAGGTATCAAAGAAGGCAGACTACCCACTTCCCTCAACTGATGAAGTGCTCAGCCACTTGAGGGGAGGCAAGGTCTTCAGCACCCTGGATTTAGCACAAGCGTACCAGCAACTTCACGTGACGCCAGAGACAGCAGAGATATTGACCCTGAACACGCTGAAGGGACTATACAGGGTCAAGAGATTGCCTTTCGGAATTTCTGCAGCCCCAGCCATTTTTCAACGTTTTATGGAGACAATGCTGTCAGGCATCACAGGCGTGTGCGCATACCTAGATGACGTGATCATCAGTGGGAAAGACGCCACGGAACACGCCGAGAGACTGGAAGAAGTGCTGAAGAGGCTACGAAACTACAATCTGCGCCTCGGAAAAAACAAGTGCTGCTTTGCGGTGCGACAAGTTTTCTTTCTGGGACACCGAATCGACGAGACAGGCGTCCACACAAACGAAGAGAAAGTTCGAGCCATAACGGACGCTCCAGCACCAAACTGCAAACAAGCGCTTCAATCATTTCTCGGAATGCTGGCTTTCTACGACAGATTCTTGAAGAACAGGGCAACAGTTGCCAGCTGCCTATACCAGCTTCTTCAGAAGGACGCCACGTGGAGATGGGAGACAAAGCATCAAGAAGCCTTTGACAAGCTTAAGGCATTGCTGCTCAGTCAGACCGTACTGGCACACTACGACGAACAGAAGGAGCTTCTTGTCTCTTGTGATGCTTCACCATATGGCATAGGAGCTGTTCTGTCTCAACGTGATGACCAGAATAGAGAGGCGCCAATCGCTTTTGCATCTCGGACGCTAGGGCCGGCAGAACGCAAATATGCTCAATTGGACAGAGAAGGCCTTGCTGTGGTGTTTGCAGCCCACAAGTTCCACAAGTATATTGCGGGAAGAAAGGTGACTTTCGTCACTGACCACCAACCACTGCTCGGCATACTGGGTCCACAAAAGCCAACGGCTCAAGTCCTTTCTCCACGGATGACCAGATGGTGCATCAAGTTATCGGCGTATGACTACAGCATAATCTACAGGCGTGGCAAGAACCATCAAAACGCGGATGCGTTGAGCCGTTTGCCATTACAAGAACGTCTCGATGAACCCTGGCCTCCAGGTGACGTACTATTGTTCGAAGCGTTATCGAGACCTCCGTTGACTGCTGCCGAGATAGCACGCCTGACACAACAAGACAGCATCATGCAGAGGTTGTACAAGGCAGTGCAGGATGGTACAGTGGAGAAACTCACTGGAGATGAGTTTGCTCCTTACCGACGACGAGCGACCGCACTAGCACTACAGCGCGAGTGCATCACACTTGGATCCCGAGTGATCATACCGAGCTCAGCACGATCCCGTGTTCTGGCACTTCTGCATGCGGGTCACAGAGGCATGGTAGCCATGAAGAAGTGCGCAAGGAGCTACGTATGGTGGCCCGGAATGGACAAGGTGATCGAGGAAACGGTGCGACAGTGCCGTGAATGCCAAGCAACGCAAAAGAGCCCACCCAAAGCTCCTATTCCTACGTGGGACCGTCCCCAGACAGCATGGAACACGGTGCACGTTGACTTCGCGGGGCCACTACTCGGACGCACCTACTTAGTTGTTGTGGACGCATACACAAAGTGGGTGGAAGTCCGGCACGTGACACAAGCAACATCCGCGGCTGTAATCGACGTGCTCCGAAGCCTCTTTGCAACGTTCGGCATTCCCCGAAAGGTCATCTCCGACAACGGAAAAAGCATTCATCTCCAACGAGATCAAGCAGTTCTATGCGTCGAACGGCATACAGGCTGCAACCTCACCAGCATATCATCCGGCAACAAACGGCCAGGCAGAACGCTATGTGGCGGAGCTGAAAAGAGCGCTGTTGAAAGATGCAGACAAGTCCATACAGTGCCGACTTGCAAGATTTCTGTATCGGCAGCACACGACAATACACACTACCACAGGTATGACACCGGCGAGAGCGATGTTCGGACGAGAATTGCTCTGCCCTCTCGATCTTCTTAAGCGGGAGACGGATAAGCGAAGTCCTGAGAGCCAGGAGGCATTGCAAAAATCACGCCGCTTCGCTATAGGGGATAGAGTGCTTATCCGGCAGTTTTTGAAAAAGCCAGATTGGATTGAAGGCGAAATACTGCGCCGCGTCGGACCACGATCCTGGCTTGTAAAAAGCGACCAAGGAAAGGTTCGGCGTCACCTCAATCACATGAGGAAAACGAGTCAGACCAGACAAACAACCCAATCGCGGACAGATTGGAGCGCAGCTGACGATCTCTTGGACGCAACGCCAGAAGAGACGCCATCGAGCTCAGCTGCTCAACCGCCTGAATCGCCCGAGATGCAAGATCACACTCCCTCGCAACCGTCGACGTCACAGGCAGTGGCCACTCGGCAACTGCGACCACCAGAGGTTAGGCGACCTCCAGACCGCTATGGAGACTTCGTCTAAGGGAGGAAGAGTGACATGTCGCCTTAGAAGACGACATTAACGAAGTGCGTGCGGGGCACTGGCGCTGTGGCACGAGCGCGAGCCTGGCGTCGAACGCTGGCCAGGAGTGACTCCAACGCCTGGGCTACGCTTTTGAACTTGTTCACGTTTCCTGTCCTTTAATAAATCGTCTACAGTCACAAGCGGCTGTACAGACGTAACAGGTAAAAAAAATGACATTTTACAGGTAAATACATCATCAAACGTAGAACTGAGACCGAAAACATTGAACACAATTAGCAGTCAATATGCACTGAATAAAACACAATAAAAAGAAACTATGAAATACGTAGTTGAATTATTTGGCACTTAATTATTTTTCCTGATTTGTGATCAATTTCTTCTATACATTTGTTGTTGTTCAAGAGTGCCCTAATCTGGCAGTGGCTTGACGCAATTGTGCGAGAAAGGCGTACTCGCACGCACGATTACCCCCCCCCCCCCCCCCCCCACCACCACACACACAAAACAAAAAAAAAAAGAAAAGAAAAAAGGCGCATAACGCTACACCAAGTGGATTTGCATAACGCAGTCAAAAACACTTGCAAATGGCGGTGGCGAATAGCGTGCATGCGCATAATAGTGATCAATTCTCCAATATGCTCCATTAGGCGGCGCCCGTTTAGTTACTTGGAGATTACCCAAAGAAACGTTGAAGGAAACAGCGTATCAGGAGGCGCTCGCAGTTCGGGTCGTCTTGTGCTCTTACGCAGCGTCGGCACATCACGTATTTTATTTCACACATACACTGAGGCAAGGCAAAATGAGACTCGCATGTCTCTTGACGAGACCTTCATCCCGGACATGTCTAACAAAAAAGTTACTATAACCGTCATTCATCGCTCGCGTTATATTGTTAAGAAATTGCAAAGTGGTACAGCTAACATCAGCTCATCGTCATAGAAATCGAAACGATGAAAAAATGAGAAACAAGCTGCAAAGACGGGTACGTGCTAAGCACATAAAAGCTAAGTACAAATTTTTCGGCGAGGACGGTTTCTGTTTGTCAGTGAGAAAAAGAGTCACACAAACACTCACTGATCCACCCGAGTAACACAGATGGCGCTGAGTGTCGTGTGTGTTACTCTGGTGGATGTGCGAGTGTTTGCGAGAGCCAAGGACGCGCTGAATATCCTACCATGACGAATAACAAACTAGCCCGACAAAAAGTTATATTGAGAAAAAAAAGAAACTACGAAATCTCGGTCTCAGGACGGAGCGAACAAAGATGGGAAGGTGGTTGGACTAGGAGAGCACGTCGGCCAGCTGGTCTACGACTTCCCGCGCATACTTTAGCCGTGTCAATAGCTCGGGCGGGCAGCCGTTATGCAAAGTCTCCAGTCGGTACGTATGGAAAACCCGGTCTTCGTCGATGTACGTCACTGCTGCCATCAGTGGACACAAGATGAGCTTCGTGTGGGCCCGGAAAAAGTTTATCTGGAACAAAGGGAGAGAAAGGTTGGTTGAAAGGCAGCTCAGATTCCATATAATCAAAGAGTATACTGAGGGAACTCAGAAAACGAATTCTGGATAGACTTTAAACGGCAAGTAGTTTAAAGTACGCTCAGACATTCTTCAGAGAGGAAACTCATGGAGGCATTGCCCTCAGTCTGGCCTGCTCGGTGGTATGAATGCTGCTGCACCGGGCATAAGCAACAAGTACTAAATAAAAGGCGAGCGGGTTGTGGGAGATCATGCTCCGACTCAACACTTTCGAACACCTTCCAACATAATAGGGTTTGGAGCAAGGCCTTGGAGAGGGACAATGCATGAATTTCCTAGAAAAGGAGGTCTTATGTAACATGCTTCATCAAGGCTTCGGTATCTTGACCAAGTGATAGGTAAACGTTGCCGCTTAATACCAGCAAGAGTTTTGTGCAATGCGCGCCAGCGTGAGCGCACACACACACACACACACACACACACACACACACACACACACACACACACACACACACACACACACACACACACACACACACACGACTTTTACCAAACACAAAAGTGAAATCCGGTGATGCTGTCGATTCAGTTGCAGCAAGAATGACGAGTGTTTTAGCGCGAGAACAGAATGACGACGAAGAGACAAGAAGGACACTCTTTGTCGTCGTTCTATTTTCGCGCTATAACTCTCATCGTGTCATGCCAACTACCCCAAACTACCCCACCTCATGCAGCAAGCAGCCACGCAAACCGTACAAGAAAAACACTGCAGCAAAACAAGATGCCCTAACCTAATATAAAACGTGATTACTGGTTGTTTGCCCCGCCACGAGGTGGGCATGCTATATGAAGGCCTACGTAGGGTAGCCACTTTTCCTCGATAAAGAAACAGACCCTACGGAGGGTGGGTGACCTTGCGGTGGTTTAGAAAGAGAGAGAGAGAGAAACACAGGAGAAAGGCAGGGCGGTTATCCAAGCTGGGATCGATTGGCTACCCTACACGGGGGAAGGGGGGGATAATAGAAGAACTAGAGAAAAGAAATTAAACCATCTCGCACTAAAGGGAACCATGTGTAGATGCGAAGCAGTGGGGGCGCTAACGCTTACACTGGCGGCGGCGTTGACGCTGCCTCTCAACGCGGTGTTGCGCAGGAGAGAAACATAAAGAGCCGCAAAGCACGCAGTGATGGTCCGGTGTTTTCTATACTGGAACATGCCAATCGCTGTCAACGGGCAATGAGAGACAGAAGACTCTAATTGTAAAAGTTGCGGTTGCCAGCCTCGATTGCAGACCATTAGTGCGCTAAAACGTCATAACGACAAATTAACACGTGAAATCGCTGAGGCGTATCCTATCGGGAAATTTGGTGACGAATGCGTGAGCATTCGGTGGCTTTGCATAAAAAAGAGATAGACCTTTTATCATTGTGCCTTCGTTTTTATCAGACACTACCCCAGAGCTATGTCACGTTGCTCGCGTTTGCTTCTCGAAATATTTTACCCGTTTGTATATATGAACATATGTGCTGCAAAAAATAGAGTTCGTAGTCAGCGCTCATGTGGCCCCTCTTTGCCTTCCTTTCATCGCCTTACGTACGCTTTTCTTCTAGCACTTTCGCTCGGCTGCTCACCCGCAGGTCGCGGGATCGAATCCCGTCTGCGGCGGCTGCATTTTTGATGGAGGCAAAATCGCTGTAGGCCCGTGTGTTGAGATTTCGGCGCACGTTAAAGGACCCCAGGTGGTCAAAATTTTCGGAGCCCTCCACTATATACGGCGTCTCTCGTAATAATATAGCGGTTTTGGGACGTTAAACCCCACATATCATCATCATCTTCTAGCACTTTCGTGCTTGCGCTGCAATCCCTATTAACACGAAATCCAACCAACGAGCCCGTATAGTCTTTGCTGTAATTTTGGTTCTCAGGTTCAGGGGTCCTTTGAGTTACTAGGTGGGTTGGCACAAAAACAAACAGGTGGCAATCTCACTTCTTCCAAAAACAAGCCCCAGACCTTGTCAAATTCAGTTTTTCGAAGCCAAGCCAAAGTACCTTTAGTGCATTAACCACCCAATCTAAGAAGAAATACTGCACGTACTGCACCACAGTATTGAGCAAGATCAGCGAAGTTTTACCGCCATTACTCGCCATAGTTTCTGTATCGAAAACGCAACACATATTTACTTGGCTAACTCAAGAAAGAAGGATACATGAACATCAGCTAATAAAAGTTTGTAGCATCAAAACTGTAATATCAAGTTAAACAAGTGTACAAAAAGCTGGGCTAGTTGGACTGGGTTCAAGATGTTGAATTCGAATTGTACAGCGTAATCACACAGGATAAATATGGGACAGAGTTGGAAAGAGTGATACTTCCTCCACTCCGTCTCATTATCCGTTGTCTTCTCGCGATGCGAAACTCGCCATCATAAATCAAGTTGAACCTCCTTTTAACTATAGGTTCTGCTTGCTCAGCATGGTTCTGCGATACTGTCGACCACGATGCCGTTTTTTGCAATAGTAATACTATATTATTATCTGGAGTTTAACGACCCAAAACTATGATATGATTATGAGAGACGCTGTAGTAGAGGGCTCCGGAAATTTTGACCATCTGGCGTTCTTTAAACGTGCTCGACAGCGCCCTGTATACAAGGGCTTCTACCATTCCGCCTCCGTCAAAATGCGACTTCCACAGCGGGGATTGAACCAGCGACCTCGGTGTCCCATAATTGCCACACTACCGCGGCGGCCACCATTGCAATACTGTCGCAACCGACGCTGTTTTTTGAAAGGATTCACCTGCAATGTTCCATTAGTCAGGTAGAACGCCATCGCTGACGGCGTTCTCAGCCACCTACGGATGCACGGCAGCCGTACCAGATTGTCACATTCCCTGGGGCTGACATCCGCCCCTGTCGTGTGAAGGTACTGCTTCATGTAATTACAGAAATAGTTCAGCAGTGTGATCTTCTTCTCCAGCGATGGTGGATACTGTTGCAAGGTGTGGTAGTGCTCGACGCAGTCCTCGTCGACGTACGTCACGCTTCTGTTCAAATGAGAAAATAAAAAAAAAGTTGTTCCGAACCGAGGGTCTAATGGAAAGAACGGCAGTATTTATTCTTGAATACTTGCGGTTCGTGAATCTATAGCTCAACGTGTTTGTCTGATTGTATCGCGCAACCAGTATTCAAGGAAATAAAATGTACAATGCCTTCTGTTGTTCAGTAACCACTTTGTCATAATGGTGAATGAAAGAAAAACCATGACTTTTTCTCATGTCTACAAAGGTGAGAAAAAAATAGGGGGGTTTCTTATTATGTCCTTGACCTTTTCAGGCCCGCATTCGGTTCATCGCAACCAACTCACTTTTGTAACTTCAAATTACTTCTACTGAAATCATGGTAGTCCAAAATATCTCGCCAATTTTTTAATTGAGAGTAATTAGATTAAATTATTCATCAATGAATACTTAATTGGCTCGTCCCCAATAATGAAATTCTTTACGCAGGACTACAATGCTCCACCTTTGCACGATGAAAGAATCTGCCTCAGAGAATTGAGAGAACAGCGATACAGTAATTTTTTTTTCACTCGTCACGTCCCGTTGTGTGTTTACAAGCCTGAGGCATAAGTCGGCAAACTTACTCAAGAGTCGACTCCATCCAGACTCAGATTGAGCCATCAGTCTGAGTCCGAACGAGCCCAATTGAGAAAATTTTCAGCGAGTCTGAGTACGAGTAGGCCCGGCAGAGGAAAACTGGTGAATGCGAGTCCGAGCGAGCCGCAAGGGCGAGTTATATTTCATGGGCGAGTATGAGCGAGCTTCACATTGTTTTGCCGAGCTCTCGTCCTATCTGCTGAACTTAAGCATTACTATCGCTCTTATGCCTGCCCATATAAATGCAATATAGCGTTCATACGCCAGCTCAATATCAACAGATGCGTAAGTTGCGCATGGTTTGGGGAAGTTTCTTGACCCTCACTAGACTTTTGTTTTTTAAACGAAGGCCTCGTAAATGACATCTCATGTGTCTTATCACTTTCTATCGAAAATTTCTTTAGTGGATTCTAACCACTGCTAGGTCGTGTTTACAGATGCGAGATAAAAAGCGCCAAACAGAGCACCGATAATGCGAGATATCTGTGTTAAAAAGCATTGGCACCTTGGACAAAACAGCTAATAGTCCGCTAATGGACTCGTAACAGACGACTCACTCAACCAGAGCCGTGAGTATGAGTCTGAGTCCAAGAGAGTAATTTTTTGGTGAGTATGGGTCCGAGCGAGTCCGGTTGAGTGAAACATCGGCTAGTGTTAGTCCAAATGAGACCTTTGGGTGAGGTATGTTTCATGAGCAAGTTTGAGGGGACTCGAAATTTTTTGCCCAACTATGGTAGCAGGTTGGCAGCATGTTTACGTAAAGCAGATGTTAAACACAGACGAGTTCTAGTGGAAGAACACATTTTTTTTCACCAGTTGATTGCCAACTGACCTACAAATATGACGATTCTACTTGAAATAGCAGAACCTAAAAGTGTTAAATATACGTACGTGGGTGTTTTAGCTGTCCACTCAGAGTGGATTGGATGCTCATATCCCCAATAGGTTTGCTTTGCCTCATGACACTTGCGTCCCCATTAATCTTGCTCCCACATTATTCATGTCCCCACTGAAATACGCAGGCCAGTAAGCTCAAATTGATAGAAACAATGGAATTGTTACATTGTATAAGCACGGGAACCTTCTATAATTTCTTATCGCCGCTGATACCATAGTGTGTGCTGAGATACTTGAATTGTAAACAATAAAAGAGGGCACATTTGCACATGCAGATTCATTCAGCTATTCAAACATATAAATGCGGCAGTTGCACAACGCTTCAACTTACTTGCAATGCAAAGGACGCAATGCAAATCAAGCCAATTGTTTCAATAATTCAAACTAAATTAGTTTAGAATGATAAACCATACTATGAGAATTCTTGTAGATTTCAATATCAGATGTCATCACTAGAAAAAAAATGCATGCTTAAACTTAAGCACCCTAAAAGCAGTGGGACACGATCTTTTCCGCATTTAGTATTTTCGTTTCGTTGGCTCAATAACATTTCCTCAAGCCTGTTGTATCTCCTTAAAATCAAATCCAATTAAGTTTTTCTGATAGGAACATAAGGTATCACGGCCCGTTAATGCATAAATCAGAAAATGACACGGCTATCTGCGTTCTGTTCTGAGTTCTTCAGTGTATGAAGAGCTTCAACACGGCAAGGGTTCCCACCCATTCTTCTCCCCTCCTTTTTTTTTTTAATCTTCGTGGAACAATAATTTATCGATACAAGCAAAAACATTTTTCTATCCATGGCATCGCGGAGGAGGGAGAACTCACTGGCCGTTGCCCAGCAGAATCAGTTTGGTGTTGTCGTTGTAGACTACGCCTACGCTGTTGTCGCACAGCTGATAGCCCAGCCCATACTTGTCAGTGTAGTCTAGCCACTTGCTGAGCCAGAAAACTGGCACGGAAGCCGGATCCTCCGCCTCGTCGGGACGCTCGAAGCGTAGCTGAGGTGGACGAGCGTTGACCAGGCACGTCAGCAGACGCTGAAGCTCGGCGAGGTGAGCCTTGTGCGGAGCCCCTTCGCTGGCCGCGTTCTCTGCGGCGGGTCTCCGAGAGCTGCCTGGTAGGGCAGCTGCATGAAAGACGCAACAGCGACAAATTGTCGACGTCAATGAATGCCATAGCACACTCTGTTCCATATATAGGCGTGCGAACGGGGGGATAGGGGGGCAAAGGGGTGCCCGCTCCCCCTGCACACCTAAGAGATAGGGGTGAGGGGGCACGAAGTCCGCCCCACACGTTGACTTCACAGAGAGGGGGGCGCTGTAATGTACTCCCCACCCCGTATAGGAACTCTATACGCACACTATGCTTTGTTCCATACATGTCAATGCTGTGGAGACTGCAAGAACTTCCGTCTGTGACTCCGCGCACCTTACAGCAGCGTTTCGTAGTAAACGCATTGATATGTCTGTAGACTTTTGTGCGAGCAGAGCAAGAACAAGTGCGTCAAAAAAAAAAAAAAGAATGCAGCAATGGCAAAGAGATAAAAAAAAATTGCCCGCAGCTTCCCTCGGGGGAACACTGAGGAGGATGCGGACCATATAATTGGTTATCGGGGTGTTAAAGTGCGACTTACTTGGGTCGATGGCTAAATTGGTTAACGTGGTTGTGAAATGGGGTGTTAAATTGCGACTTACTTGGGTCGATGGCTAAATTGGTTAACGTGGTTGTAGGAGGGGGTGTTAAATGAGTGAACACGTACACACGTATGCGAAAGGGCGGCGCTGGTCGAAGGGACGTCGATCATTGTGTTTGTGGATTCGTTGGAATTCATTTCACCGCGACCTTGGACGTCGACGCGCCGTACAAACCAACCGACGAGCGGCAACTGAGCGAGCGAGCGCCGACCTTGAGTATATATACAGCACGACGGCGCATGCACTGTCAGCTGTTGAATGTTCTCGAAGCGCGACGCCACATGCGCGTCCACTGGAGAATCAGGAGAATTGTAGATGTCGAACGCGGTGTGTAGAGGAGGAAGGGTGCACAGATGGTGGAGGAGTGAAGCGCGCGCGGTGTGTAGAGGAGGAAGGGATGCACAGATGGCGGAAGAGTGGGCGACGGCGCGACGGCGCATGCGCGCGCGTCAGCTGTCGAATGTTCGAGAAGCGGTGCGGACGGCGCACTACAAGGCGCGAGTATAAGATGCTCCGCATCTAAAAAATGACCGCAGTTTCCCGAGTGGGAACACTGGTTAGCATGCGGAGCATATATGTTAAACTGCGATAAATGTGGTTTGTAATTTGCGACATGCGTGTGTGTTATGAGTGAACACGATCGAGTGAACACGCACGCACGTATGCTGCGAAAGACGATGTTTATTGATGAGACGCTTTGGGTACTTTGAGCAAGATGGCTTTATGGTTCGTAAAGTGAAGGGTGCATGGGTCTGGTTGCAGCGGTCGAAGGTCGAAATTCGCAGAGACGTGGTCGATGCACGTCCCGTGAACCGTGGTCGGATGATGTTGGCCGTCGTGCGTTGCTCGTTTCAGCGAGTGCCGCGACTCCATGTAGTCGACCACCCAACCGTCCTTGATGACGTCGACGTTGAAGTCGCCAACTATCACGAAGGGTCGTCGTTGCGGTCGTTGTTTCAGGTATTCTTCCACGGCTTCGTCGACGTACTTCTCCACGGCGGCGCGCGATAGGTTGGGCGCGAGGTACATCGTCATGACGTCGACTCTGCAGACGCTAGCGACGCAGTGCTCGCCGTTGGCGCGTTGTTGGGTGCGCGGAGGGGAGAAGCGAGCAGAGCGCGCGCTGTGTTGAGAGGAGGAAGGGATGCACAGATGGCTGGCGGAGGAGGAGGGGAGGCTTCGGACGGTGACGGCGCATGACTAGCCCCTAGTATAACATGCTCCGCATCTAAAAAAAAACAACGCTAAAGCTTGCAGTTTATTGCTGCGCGTAAGAAACAACGAAAGTGTGGGTGTGAAGCTATCCTCTGGATCGAACACACATTCTGCAGGAATTCTCGCTAGGCGCCGCAGCCTGGATATAGAAAGGAGCATATAGCCGCAGCAAAAACACCGAGTTTTAAAGGGCTCCGTTCAGAAACTCTAATCAGGCCATGCAGTGTTTTCCTACTACCATTTCTTTTTCACACGTATATCCTTATGTTGAGGTTGTTCGTCAATGAGAGAGAGAGAAAGAGAGGGAGAGGAGAGAGAGAGAGAGAGAGAGAGAGAGAGAGAGAGAGAGAGAGAGAGAGAGAGAGAGAGAGAGAGAGAAAAGAAACGGATATTACAATTACGCACACTGTTGGGGTTCGAGGCACTGCGCAGGCTTGGCTGCCTTTTTTGTGTTCCTTCTTATGGGCGTCACCTTTGCGCCTAGTTCTGCAAGAGAAATGGACGCATAAAATGAGGACACCTTTAAGGGATACCTTTAAGGGACACCTTTAAGGGACACAAAGAGAAACAACGACTTGGTTTATATTGACAAACTGCCCCTTAGAACTCTAACGCCAAATGTTTCACAATCATGGGTTCATCATTAGTGGAGAAACTCAAGTTGAGAAAACACTGAAATTTCGGCGAGTTTGTACTTATAAGAGCACGTAAGCAGACAAGAAACGATAGACAGAGTGACACGGCAGGTGGCAAGTGAGGACAATATACATTTTTCGCGAGATTATAGTAGGGGTCTGTTCTCATAGGTAAGGATTTGCATCTTGACAAATGAGCATGGAAAATATCATATCACTGTTGTTTCGTTTCTGAGAAAAGGCATTTTTATTTTAAAACTAGTCTAAAAATCGGTACTCAACTAGGAACAAGCAAGAAAAGCCACAGGGTGAAGAATGCACACACCGAAGGCCAAAGACTCTCTCGTTCAGCTCACGAAATTTCCAAACAAGATAATGAACAGCTCCCGAGGTATATAAGGCTGAAGCCTGGGCAACCTGCTCACACTACCATGACCCCTTAAGATTACACTCATAATTTTCCTTTCCCATAGCTCGTTGTGCAATCCTCATTTGAATTCCGATAAAGAGTCACCCCATGCATGTTTCCACTTTATTGGTAGGTCTCCATGTTTTCGCATAAATCTTAAAAAAGAGTCACATAAACACACGGTGGTAAATTTGACGACCCGGAGTGATGTTATAAACCCCGATTTCGAAAGGGCATCTCCAACGTTCAAAGAGCATTTTCAAAGTTAGAAAGCATCCATAGAAAAGAGCGCACCTCATCAGCGGCTTGTAAAATCTTTTCGAGTCTACTGCAAGATTTATCGTCGTAGGTAATACAAACGAACGTAGATGTTTTGTATTCAAGTATTTGTGCTTGTGTGTATGTGCTTGTGCTTTGAGACCTTCAAAAAAGTACAGTAACTTTAACTGGTTCGCGTGTTTCCTGGTTGAGACATTTCATCTAAGACTTCGGAGTACTGCAAATAATAATAATAATAATAATAATAATAATAATAATAATAATAATAATAATAATAATAATAATAATAATAATAATAATAATAATAATAATAATAATAATAATAATAATAATAATAATAATAATAATAATAATAATAATAATAATAATAATAATAATAATAATAATAATAATAATAATAATAATAATAATAATAATAATAATAATAATAATAATAATAATAATAATATAATAATAATAATAATAATAGTAATAATAATAATAATAATAATAATAATAATAGGTCCTATATTATTGATCAGAAAGTTGAGCGAGGCTGGGAGAAAAAAAGCTGAGAAGCAGCCTGACAAGCGCCCTTTCTTCATAAGTACACTTCGGCGTGTTCACTGCAGTGCACATCAGGGGTCGTATTAACAGGGTGAATAGTATACAGAGAGTGAACAAAAATAAATGGATGGCAAAAATGAATTATAAGCAGCAACGCAACCCATATTGATTGAAAATGAAGTATATATGAGCACACTTCAACAGCTTGCGACGCAACAATAGGCGACACCGAGTTTCAAGAAAAGTTTGCTCCGAAAACACGGAGGCTTATTTAAACCAAGTACTGGTAAAATGCTGCTTTTATATACCTTGTTATTTTGTTTACACAATGAGCCACAATTCAAGATCAATTTAAGACATGTGAACCTATGCGTATGTTAGTAGAAATTATTACAGCTGGAGTTCGTCTTTACTAGGTACCCATGCACAACAAGCTCTAACTTACAAGATAATAAGCATCTATTACTAACTGAGTAAATGTACGTAGGTATATGTATGTAGTTATAAATATTCTGTTTTTGTGTCTTTTCTTTTAGCTAACCTGTACATTTTGCTGCAAATTGTATTGGACTGGCCACTGAAACTTCAGGATGTCCCTCCAAATAATCCTTGTAAGGGCAATTTTCCGAAAATAAAAATAAAATTCCACTGGCCGATTGACTTAATTTTCACTTCAAACGAAGTTTCGACTTTATGGATTGACCGAAAAAGACCAACTCACTTAAACACACATTGCACTCCAGCAGAGGCTTGCGGCTATTATTCGCTGACAGGTTGGCATTCAGTGTGTCGTTGCGGGGCTCCGTCGTTAGGCAAGATGTCGGTAGACGAGATGGCAGGGGCCCTGCAACAAGCGACACTTGCGTAGTGAAGCAGTCTATTCCCATTCAACAACCACTGCGGTCGATTCGGTATATACAGGGCGCAACAACAAGTACATACAAATGAGACAAACAACTAGCAACATTTGTCAATCTGTGTAAAAAAAACAATCACATGAATAATACCTGTGCCACATGCCTGTTTAGAAAGCCATCCAATCGACGCTACATTGACTCCATGGTCAAGCTCCAACTTCGCGGCAAGTTTCGCAGACTGTCTTGTCAAAAGCCCATCGAGTCAACGGAGTACCCCACAAATTCGTCAAAGCTTTGATGAGCATTGCGTAGTGATAACGTAAACAGTCTGAACGTGCCTCCTCATTCTTGCTGTGATCGTACTCACCATTAAAAAATGTGTATGCAACCAATATGCTTTATAGCAGTATACCTGAGTATTCTGAATTACTTGACGGGCCACCTAAACGTGCGAACTGCTCATACTCTCGACAACAGCAACGCGATTGTCATTGTCTTGAGTCTTGCCATCTATCACTCGCTAGTTTCGCTTATAGCGAACCAAAAGTTTTGCTGCTAAATACCTGAGCTAAATGTGTACTCACAACTATGAATGAACAGTTTATTGAAATGTTTAATCGCAAACCATACGAACTTGTGCTTTTAAACGATTTTACGTTATTTAACTCTAGGCGACATGAATATGAGAATAAACATGCACAGCGCCATGCTTTTTGCAACTGCCCTGAACAACTCAAAATTCATCATTCAAAACTGCAATTTAACAGTGCAGCAACACCATCGAGTCAGAGTTGTGTTTTGATGATGGACTGAATGACCTTGCAAAAGTGCCCGCATGACAGAGGTATCAAGTAGTTCCACCTCATTTTGGGAACAATTCTCTCCCCCCACACCCTTCTTATGTCCTGACCCGCATGCATAATGGAATCGCACGAATTGCAAGAGTGTCCATGAAAAGTTTGTATATGATAGGCAAACAGCTTCTGCGAATATTTGAGCACTTAGGATGCTCGAACAAATATTATAGTGTTCCAATTTGCTTCAATAAGAATTTAAGTGACTGGAAATTTCGAAGTATTCGGAACTAACGAATAAGTACACTATAACGCTCATGCAACCTCTTTGTAAAGGTGGTTTTAGTACCGGGATAATATACCGCTATGCTATACCGTGAACACACCTATCCAGGGGCATCACCACTGGATAAATTACGAAGCCCCACAACAAGCATAGTGAAATTTTGAAATAACGCGTTTTACACGTTATCAGTTACGTTCTACTGAAAATCAAGTCTTGCTACTAAGCAAAAGTTAATTGCTGGCCACTTCCATATATATATATATATATATATATATATATATATATATATATATATATATATATATATATATATATATATATATATATATATATATATATATCAAATGAGCCCTTGCATGCTATTTGAAGGCACCAAGTGTACCAGAAAGGGACGTGCGCTTCGAATGAACGAAAGAGAATTTAAGAGAAGAAAAGAACACAAGGAGCGTTACCCAAATGTTGCTTGTTCTATCACTGCTGGCAGCAAGGTGTCGGTTCACTTTATTTACATTTGCGACACAAAGGGCACAACAAAGTTAAAAGATTCATGCTCCCAATGTCTGCCTTTACGATTCATGCAGAGAAACTCACCACTGAACATGAATTCATCCTCCAAAATGGCTTCAACGTTTGGTCGCCTTGCTGGATCTGGCTGCAGCAGCTTCCTGATGAGTTTTCTGGCCGCAGAGCTCACTGACGAAGGCACACGATACTCGTTCCTCTTTATGCGGGCGTAAGTCTCTTTCAAGGTGGGAGTCTCAAATGGCGGATGACCAACAAGGAGGGTGAACCTGCATGCATGTACCAAAGGCAACACAACTCTGCGTGAAGGGCTGTCTTTTTTTTTTTACACAGAAATGGCCATCTAGCATGCTTTTAGAATTATGGAGCCCTTCCCTAACCTAGAAAACGGAGGAAAACAAAGCTTGAAATGCGCGTTCCTAACGTACGAACGTAGATGTTCCAGAACGGCGTAAAATGTGTGACCATGCCCGAAAACTATTATCATGAATGGGCATGTGGACTGTATTTGGCCAAATCCCACAACTCGTGGTGTGGAATGTAGTGACCCTGATGGGTGAGAGAACAAGTACTGAGAGTGAGATAGACAGGCGCACACTGAAAGAAAACAATAATATCAAAGAAGAGGAAGACAAATTCTTGCCACGAAAAAATCCTCACGACGTAGAATGCGAACCCGCGCACTCCTGATCCGTAAGTGTTTTCACGGCCGGACTCGACGCTCCTTCCGCACGCTCCTTACGGCCTTCTCAATACCGGCGCCGCGCATATATTTTTTTCTGACGCGTAGAGGGCAGCTCCACCTCACTGTAAGCTCCGCCGGCTCCCCGCGTCGCCTACTGCGACTTTTCTTGACTGCGTTCGATGACCTCGGGTAAACAATGCATCAGACACGCTCAGGCACGCTAACTGCACTAGCGTAGCCATGGTTTATTGTTGCGTGCCGCTGTGTAAGTCACAGCAAGGGAAGACACCGGGTGTGTCGTACCACCAATTTCCTAGCGATGAGGAACTGTGTTCGAAGTGGAGGAAAAATGTTTCACGTGAAAACCTCGTCATCAATGACAAGTCCGCATTGACTGTAGTCTGCAGCAAACACTTCACGGAAAATGACTGTGTTCCCGGATATTGTATCCGGAAACTGCGTCCAGGAGCCGTGCCCGCGGTCTTTGATCAGTATCCTTCGTATATGGTCCCGGCTACGAAGAGGCCGCGTAAAGAACCTGCAGCGCGTAGCCCCTCGGGCACCTCGGCTCCTCGACAGCCGACGAAACGGAAAGCGGAGTCATCGCCGTCTACCTACGGGAAGTTCTAGTCCACCTTACAACAAAATAAATATTGCTTTTTCTCTCTGAATTTTGTGCGCTGTAATGGATTACTGTTGCTTGTGACAACACGCGTGTGCGAAAATTCGGGAAAGCTGCCGGAATGGTTGCGACTGCGTAAGCGGTGCTCTCAGAGGTCGACTATACCATTTTAACCTCATCACATGCAACGACCGAGCTGTATAGTGTGGATAAAACGTTCATCTTCAAGAATTCAGGCGCCGCAGTTGGTTCTGTTCCTCGTACTCAGCGCTGTTATGATGGCCATAGCGCTGTGGCACGCACACTGCGCCCGTGAACGCGCTTGGAGGCGGCGGAGCAACAGTGGTCTAGCAGCGCCACCCCGAACTTGCGGCGGCAGGCAGCAAAACGCCCCAATGCGAAGGCCGTAAGGAGAGCACCGGAGAAGGAGTCGAGTCCGGCCGTGGTGTTTTAACGCCTCTGATTTCCAGGCACTCTAGCAGAGCATAACATAGCCTCAAAAAGCGTACCGTAATGAAGGGATGTAAAAGTGTACTGATCACGAAGAGAAAGTGAGCGGGTGAAAGCTAGCCTATAAAGATTTATAGAGAGGAAATGCACAAAGAAAAGGAGCTGAAAAAAAGGCTGATCCCTATTATTAGGAATCGGTATAACACAGAAGGGAAACATGTCCTCGCAGAGGCAGTTGAGCGTTCATTGTGTTTTGTTTTTGCCACAAGGGTGAAGGAATGAATGCTACAGCAACAACCTGCAATGTCACGCGAAAAACGCCAAGGGGCTCAAAATTGCCGCGCGCACCTAAAGCACAAAGTACGCACGGAATTAGCATGCACAAGGTGAGCTCGGACGACCAACTGTCCCTGCTCGACTCTTGAAGCAGGCTGTTCAAACAGAAATACACACGAAACAAACGCACACGTACACAAAAGACGAACGTGAACGTGCGTGAGCAGCGTGCTCTTTTCGTAAACGCGGCCGCGGCAGTGAGCGAAGTGACCTCCGTCTTTTCTTTAACCACTGTAACTTGAAAGCAAACTTGCGATGGAAGCGCAAAAGAACAAAGCGACCGAATCCCGAGATAAAAATGCGCGCACGTGACTGACCACGCCAGATAATACGCACTTTGCGCATAGCAACGCGTGGTGTGGCGTGGGGCGACGACCGTCTGAGCGAGTGGGCCCAACGCACGCTTCTCGCGTCAACTAGCTATTGATGACGACAACGCGCTGAAGTTGCTGAGCTCTGAGGATCGCCAATGGTACATGGTGTATATAAAAGGCTTGCAGTTGGCACCCTTCAGAACTACGTTCTGTGGCCCAGAGGTGAGCGCCACGCACTGCGGAATATAAGCTCAATAGTTCGACGCCCCGTAACATAGGTTTTCTTCTCGTATTCTCTTTGCACTTGATTTTTTCTCATTTTTGCATTTGTTTTAGATGCGAAGCAGCTCTTTGACTAGCCTGTGTAACGCTGTCCGTCCGTGTGTCTGTGTCAACGCGCGACACCGCGCTTCCCTCGCCACCGTTAATAGAGCTGAAACGACGCCAAGTAGGTCAGTCATAGTTTCTTAATATACACTAGACGGACCTCTGGTGCTAGTGTCTATGGGAGCTGCAACACACGGCGCTTCAGTGAGCATGGGAATGATGGGTAGTACACACATTTGTCCAATCTTCGTACTTTTGGCCTGCTTTTGGCTCTGTGTGTGTTCGTGTGGCTTGGAGCTGTTTCTTCACGAAAACATAAATTAGCAAATGTTCACCGTTTGCGCTTCAAAACCTTATTATTTTAGGCTTACCATTTTGAATCAAGTCACTAAATTCAAAGGGGTTCGTCCTTCTTTCTAAACAAAACCGTATCTAGCAATAAACGAAGCCGCAAGTACGATTCACCGCCCGCAAGTACGAAGACTAGGCAAAATGTGTGTACTACCCACCATTCCCATGGTCGCTGAACGATCGCAGCACCAGAGTACCCTCTAGTTTTTTAGGAAACTCTATGGGTCAAGTCGCAGCTGCGCGTTGACGTCACTCTCTCATCCGTTGCTGGCTCCTCCGCCAGCTCGCAACAGACTTCTCTTGCTTCACCTTCTCCACCGCTCGCAATGCTCGACTGCACGTCAAGTGGAAGCTTTATCTGCGATAAAACTTACACGAAATTCAACCCACCTCCCGTGTCATTGCGTTTCAAACAAACGTTTGACTCGAGTATACGCTACACCCGGCTTCGCTTCAAACCATTATTCCAGCACCCGTGTTGACGCCCGCTTCAATGGGGTCAACGCCATGCGCACCGCTGCTGCTTCGCATCCCATCGGGATTCCATTCGGGAAAATGGTCTATGATTTTTTAAACGTCATATCTGTTACGAAAGTACGTCAGCGGATCCGCGGTAGAGCCCGGCACAAAAAAATTGTATTAAAAAGAGAAAGAAGTAAAGAGAAGAGATATAATTAAAAAGGAAGCAAACATCATTTCACCTAAGAACTGCACCAACTGACCAAGCCACGCACGTATACGCTCATCGACGGAGACATCATTTGCAAACTGCGTTCTATAGTGCATAGAAGCACCTGATAGCGTCCAGAAGGTAACGAGGCGTCTTAAGAAAGGGCGTACCTCTGAGGAGCACGGCATTTTAAGGGCGAAGCTTTTTATAACGGCACCTGTTCGTCCCTCGTGCCAGTTGTAGTATGTAACAAGTATAACATTTTGACCAAGGTGGTGCCGGTGAGAGATTTCTTCTGTGCGTTGTTGAACAATAAAATATAGTGCTCAATGTACATGCCAATGGCTGCTAAGGGGGAATGAGAGGCAGGAACATTCGGCTTTTAGTTAACCCGCACGTTGCAATCCCCATTAGCAGCCATTGGCATGTACATTGAGCACTATCTGACAAGAAAGAGTTGCTACGTTATACTCGCTGGGTGTAACCTCCTTAGTTTCAGAAAGGTTTAGCGAGCGTTGAGCCGCAATGCCATGAATACAATGAACTAGTATATACCATGAACTCGAGCGGGTTAAAGGTGGGAAGTAGATACGAAGCGCAAGCCGTAAGAAAGTAAAAGCCGAATTCTCCTGTCTCTCATTTCCCATTAGCAGCCATTGGCATGTACATTCAGCACTATCTGACAAGAAAGGGTTGCTATGTTATACTCGCTGGGCGTAACCTCCTTGGTTTTAGAAAGGTTTAGCGAGCGTTGGGCCACAGTACCATGAATACAGTGAACTAGTATATACCATGAACTCGAGGTCGTTAAAGGTGGGAAGTAGACCCGAAGCTCAAGCCGTAAGAAAGTGTGCGTGTGCCACCTCTCGCTTAGTCTTTGGAATGTCCGCTGGATGACTGTGCTCCTATACGGGGAATATATGTTGAAAAGTTGCGAGATGGTGGTACTTGGAGTGTTGAATAGATGGACGAACGGACACACAGACAGATGCATGGATGGACGAATGAACGGACGCAGGGGCGGATGCATGGATGAACGCAAGGACGGACGCACGAACAGACGCATGCATGGACGGGCGGATGGACAGACGGAAGCAAGAACGAATGGACGGACGAATGCTTTGCCCCACTCTCTATCATTCACTCCGTGGGTATGCTGCCAATTTTTTTTTTCACGAGACAGTATCGCCTATCACCACATCTACCGATGCTACCATGCTATACAGTAGCAAACAACATGAGCACTCACAAGATGCATCCTACAGACCAGATGTCAACCTCGAAGCTGTGCCCCTTCTTCGAGAGTACTTCAGGTGCTACGTAGTTGGGCGTGCCGCAGAGCGACCTCCTCTTCTCGCCATCAAACTGCAAGCGGATAGCGAGCCCAAAGTCTCCCACCTTGAGTTCCATCTTGTCATTCAGCAGAAGGTTGCCCAGCTTCAGGTCTCTGTGAATCACCTTCTGTTGCACGAGGTAGTGGCATGCAAGAAGAAGCTGGTGTAGAAAGTAGCGTGCTTCTGCCTCCGTGAGTATCTTGCGACGCCTGTGCATTTCCATGAGACTCTAAAAAGACCAACAAAATTCGGTCACAGTCTTCCTGCGGGAGGCACAACCACGGTAATACATCTAACAGCAACTCTCTAAGGGTTGAAGACGCTATTATATGGCAATGCAAACAAGTCCCAAAAACACAATGACTAAGTAAGAGAGATGCTGCTGTGAAGAGCTCTGCAAACTTCGACCGCCTGGTGCGTTTTAAATTGCTCAGATAATTCAGATAATTGGGACTTCTAGCGTTTTTTCCCCAGGAAACGCGGTTACTGTGTCCTGTACTTGACACTGCATTGTCTGGGTGGGTATAGTCATGCTCCAGGAAATGCGGTTACTGTGACCTGTACTTGATACTGCAACGTCTGGGTGAGTATAGTCGTGCACCAAAACCGTCAAACCGACGTGATGGGTGCCCTTGCCGGATGTATCAGGTTCGTTCAATTGAAACAAAAGCGGATCTTCAATAATGCGCGACACAGAACTCGCAGCTTTGCCTATTATCATACACTACTCCCTACATCATTTGACGCTTGAATTCACTGAGTGCGAAATTAGTAGGATCATTTTGAAAAACTTTCAACTGCTTTCTTGGTTCACCTAAATTTTAAACTTCTTTACATAAAATTTTAAGCTACGTTAGGAGTGAATATTACATGATACGGTGTTGACATGTAATAAATAGAGCAGCTATACATACCCGTCGGTTGCAGAGCTCCAGGATGATGTATACATTCTTTTCATCTTCGAAGTAACTGTTGAAACCGACGATGTTCTTGTGATCGAGGCTCCTGTGAATTTGAATCTCCTGGTGTATCTGCGAATAATGGACGCATTGCAGAAAACGGCGTTGAATGTAATGCATGTCTTCAAACACAAGGGCCTATATACATTTTACTGTAGAACTGGCGGATACAAAAGTAAACTAGCACTTGTTCCAAGTACGAATACAACAGATCAGAGAAGCTCTTTAAGAAATGGGACATAAATGAACATGCACCTCATCTCGCTGCCGTCTTTCATGGAGGCAGTGTGGTGTGGAGTGGGCGGGGAGAGTGTCTGTGGCGCTCGATGGCCGGAACGATTGGGCGAGTGATTGTGCAGCGCGCGCGAGCCATCTGCCACCGCGCTTGCGCTCCCGCACTTTGTTTACTCGGTGCACTTGCCCAGCGTTTACTCGGTGCACTGCCCGGCGCAGGGAGCTTCGCCAGCGACGGCAGTGTGTGAGCGTAAGGAGCTTGGCTTCTAAAAATTGCCAAACACTTTTCAGAAAGTTAGAAAAACCGCCAATAGGGCGTGCTGGTATACGCTCGTGATGGTGAAGCGATAAAAACGAATGGAGACTTATGAAGAACACTGGACAAAACGCGACTACAAACTGAGTTTTATTTTGGAAACAACGCGATAATACAGATAAATTGTAGCACGTCGGGGTTAGAATCGGAGTGCTGTAGTTTACAAGCACGCCGATCGAACTGCCTCAGTATCGCATCATGAAAAGCGGCAGTCGTTGCGTCAGGCAGTCATCCATTCTTCCCTTTAACGTGAAGTTGCTTTTAAATGTGAAGCATTTCTTAGCGAACTTCGGCGACTATGAACGCATCTATCCATCTAGCCGCCTACGACTTTTAGCTCTCCTGGCCGTTTCGATAGTGGTATCGATACCAAACTTGGTATGACATAACATGACTGTATGATGAACATACTTGACTAGTCGTAACATAAAAACAATGATGTGTATGTCATGAATGTCATGATTTACATTTCCTGGTCCTGCAGCTCTAGCGGTGGTTTCGTTCCGATGGCATGTTGCAAAACTGGTATGGTATGGCATGATTGCATGGCGAACACAAGCGACAAACTCTAACATAAAAATAATGACATGCGTGTCATGTAACACCATGATTACATGCCACGCTCGTGATGCACTCGTGGCCGTTTTGCTAGCTTCACGTATGCCAAATTTGGTATTACGATACCTGAATGGATGACGAAAGTATGTGACTGGTGCAAACATGATAGCCATGAGATGCGTGTCATGACTATGACTATCATGCATGTCAGATGCGTGTCAACAACATGACTACATGCCACGCTCATGATGCGCTGGCGGCCGTTTCGCTAGCTTCACTTATAGCAAATTTGGTATTACGGTACGTGAATGGTTGACAAAAGTATGATACTGGTGCAAACATGATGAACATAAGATGCGTGTCATGTAACAACATGACTACATGCTACGCTCATGATGCGCTCGCGGCCGTTTCGCTAGCTTCACATGTACCCAACTCGTTATTACGTGGCGCGAACGGACAACATAGCTAAATGACACATCCAAACATGATAATCACGACATGCGCGTCATGTAACAACATGACTACATGCCACACTCATGATGCGCTCACGGCCGTTTTGCTAGCTTCACATATGCCAAATTTGATATTGTCACGACGTCAAAACAGAGGTCTTCCCGCTTAAACTGAGACACCAGAAGCAGGTAGGTTCTTTTAATAGAACGCGCAAGAGAGTTCTTCTTTTTTGTCCATTTCGTAGTCCTTCGTGGCACATGCACAACTGCCATCGTCTTTCCTGAGCAAGCACGTGACATTTGCCTCCCTCCGAAAAAAGCATCGTCCCGATGCGCAACTTAGGTTCTCTACAAGGCGTATGAAGTGGTCGTACGAAAACGGCAGCTGGGAGCTAATTAACTCGATAAATACAATTTCATACGCACGACGTGCACAACTTCGGGCAAATGCTTTCAGCGCTTAGAACTACAATCAGTGTCGGGAACAACTTCGTAGTTAACGTCGTTCAAGCGTCGCGTGACGCTGTATGGACCAAAGTACCGTCTTAGCAGTTTCTCAGACAGTCCACGTCGACGTATTTGAATCCAGACCCACACTTTGTCACCTGGTGTGTAGCTAATAAACTGGTGTCGGGTGTCGTAGCGTTATGCATCTTGATGCTGCTGATGACAGATGCGCACGCGCGCGAGCTGTCTGGCTTCTTCGGCACGCTGAGTGAATTCTTCGGCGTCTACATGGATGTCGTCACACTCATGCGGCAACATGGCGTCCAATGTTGTCGTGACTTCGCGACCATAGATCAGACTGAACGGCGTCATTCCAGTGGTTTCTTGTCGAGCGGTGTTGTAAGCAAAGGTCACGTACGGCAATATCTGATCCCAGTTTTTATGTTCCGTGTCAACGTACATACTGATCATGTCTGTGAGAGTCCTATTGAGGCGCTCCGTCAGTCCGTTTGTCTGCGGATGGTATGCAGTTGTTCTCCGGTGAGCTGTACCGCTGAGTCTGAGAACCGACTCCAAAAGCTCTGCGGTGAAGGCAGGTCCTCCTTCTGTGATCACTGTTGTCGGAGCGCCATGCCGAAGGACGATGTTCTCAATGAAGAACTGAGCGGATTCTGCTGCTGTGCCGCGCTGCATAGCTTTAGTCTCCGCATAACGGGACAGGTAATCAGTGACCACAATAATCCATCTGTTCCCTGTTGTGGAAGTTGGAAAGGGACCCAGGAAATCTATTCCAATCTGGGTGAACGGCTTTTCTGGTGCTTCGATTGGATGTAAAAGACCGGCTGGCTTACTGGGAGGTGCTTTGCGCCTTTGGCAGTCGGTGCAAGTTCGCACGTGATGGTTAACAGCAGCAGGTAACTTTGGCCAGTAGTACTTGCATCGCAGTCGGCACAATGTTCGGGTGTAGCCTAGATGACCAGACGTTGCTTCATCATGGCACGCTTCCATAATTTCTTTTCGAAGAGAGGCAGGCACGACGAGCAAGTGCGGGTTACCGTTTGGTGAGAAGTTTTTCCTATAGAGAACATCGTTTCGCAAGCAAAAAGATGACAGTCCTCTAGCAAATAACCGCGGCACGTCTTCACGTCGTCCTTCTAAATATTCAATGAGTGGTAACAGCTCAGGGTCACTGCGCTGCTCTCGTGCAATAGTGGCCGTGTCGACAACTCCCAAGAATGCCGCGTCGATGTTTTCGTCATCAGGAGCGGCAGTTTCCACTGGCGACCGTGAGAGACAGTCGGCGTCGGTGTGCCTCTTCCCAGATTTATAGACGACGGTCATGTCAAACTCTTGAAGCCTTAGGCTCCAGCACGCCAAACGACCAGATGGATCTTTAAGGTTGGTGAGCCAGCACAAAGAGTGATGGTCGCTAACAACCTTGAAGGAGCGGCCGTACAAATACGGGCAAAATTTGATGACCGCCCACACCACGGCGAGACACTCCTTCTCGGTGGTCGAGTAGTTCTCCTCTGTGCGAGAGAGAGTTCTGCTGGCGTAGGCTATTACCCTTTCACAGCCGTCTTGCCACTGCACCAGAACGGCACCCAGACCTACATTGCTGGCGTCAGTGTGAAGTGCTGTAGGGGCTTCCTGGTCGAAGTGCGCGAGGACTGGAGGTGTTTGCAGGCGTTGTCGTAGTTCATTGAACGCGATTTGCTGTTGTTCACCCCAAAGGAAGGGGACGTCCTCACGTGTGAGTCGTGTCAATGGCGCCGCAATGGGCGAAAAGTCCTCGATAAATCGCCGGTAATAGGCACACAACCCTAAAAAGCGTCTCACGGCCTTTTTGTCGCGTGGTGCAGGAAATTGCGCTACGGCGTCTATTTTGGCCGGGTCAGGTCGAACACCCTCGTGACTGACGACGTGGCCTAGGAAGCTGAGTTCGTTAAAACCAAAATGACATTTTTCTGGTTTTAAAGTAAGGCCGGCTGAACGTATGGCTTGGAGGACGGTGAATAAACGGCTGAGATGTTCCTCGAATGTTGCTGAGAATACAATAACATCGTCCAGATAGACCAAGCATGTTTGCCACTTCAAACCTGATAGTACGGTGTCCATGAGGCGCTGAAAAGTGGCTGGCGCCGAGCAAAACCCAAAAGGAAGCACCTTAAATTCGTATAGGCCGTCGGGCGTCACGAAGACCGTTTTTTCACGATCTCTCTCGTCGACTTCTATCTGCCAGTAGCCGCTTCGGAGGTCCATTGAAGAAAAATAGCGCGCATGACGCAGTCGATCGAGTGAATCGTCTATGCGGGGCAGTGGATAGACGTCTTTCTTCGTGACTTGGTTCAACTTGCGATAATCAATACAGAAGCGCAAGCTGCCGTCTTTTTTCTTGACCAAAACCACGGGGGACGCCCAAGGACTTTTTGAAGGTTGTATGACGTCATCCGCGAGCATCTTGTGCACTTGCTTCTGTATCTCCTCGCGCTCTTTCGGAGACACACAATAGGGGTTTTGCCGAATCGGTCGCGTATTGTCTTCAGTAATGATGCGGTGCTTGGTCAATGCTGTCTGCTGGACCTTTGACGTACGCGAAAAGCAGTCTTCGAATTGGTGTATAAGTTCAAGCAGGCGCTTCCTATCTGAGGGCGGTAGCGTAGAGCAGATGTCTACCGACAAAGTTGTCGAGGCGGGGACAGCCGCGTCATCTGGTTGCAAGGTAAAACAATCCCTGGCTTGGTCTACATCGTCGTAGTAGGCAATTGCGGTACCCTTCTGGATTTGGCGGCGCTCGTTGCTGAAGTTTGTGAGGAGCACTTCTGCCTGTCCACCAGTAAGCGCCAGGACGCCCCTCGCGATGGAAATGCCTTGCGTGAACAAAAGAGTGACTATGTGCTCCGCTATCACATCTTTATAGCAAGGACACCCACTGGACACCGACACAAGGCAGCAAGATCTCGGTGGGAGTGTCACATCGTCGGCCATTCGCAAACGGCCACGTTGTTTTTCACTGCTGTTGTCGGCATAAGGATGTGCGCAAAACGTCACTATACGTTGAGGGATGTTGATAACAGCGCCATGATCTTGAAGAAAATCCATGCCCAAAATTAACTCTTTACAGCAGTCCGGCAACAGGACGAAAGTGGCCACGAAGCTAGAATCCCCGATGCGAAGGCTAGTGGTGCATTTACCCGTGGGTGTCATCAGCTGATCACCAGCACTCCTTATGTGCGGCCCTGTCCACGGTGTCTTGACCTTTCTAAGGCGGTCGGCGAGCTCTTGTCGTATGATTGAGAAGTCGGCGCCAGTGTCGACGAGTGCTGTAACGTGATGTCCATCAATGAGAACGCTCAGATCGGCACGCACAACTTCATCAGTATTATTATTCGTCGTCGTATTCATCGTCGTTGTCGCCATACCTTCTTGCGATGATTGGGGGAACTTTTCAGTGTGTCGACGATTGGCAACCTTGCCCCCCGAGGTCGCATGCGTTAGTTTCCCCGGCGCGGGCTAGGCGAACGGCCTCTGGTGACGTCCGCGTAGCTCTGAGGGAAGTCACGGTGACGAGCAGGTGATGGAGATCGCAAGCGACGCGGTGGGGTTGCTTGGGCAGGCGATAGTTGATCGGCATCGTGGGCCCGATGGTCTTCGGAGCGGAAAGAAGCGGGACGAGAAAAGTTCCCGAACCCAGAATCGCCGTGATGGCAATAGCGGGCAATGTGACCGGATTTTCCGCAGCGGTAGCAAATAAGTCGATGGTCGGCCATGCGCCACAAGTCAGTTCGGCGAACTGGTGGTCGTCTTGTAGAATCCCGTTGCCACCAAGGTACGGTAGTGGGTCGTAGCTGGAAGGGCGTCGCCACAAATGTCGGTGGAGGGCGACGGACCACATCAGCGTAGCTCGCTGGATGTGGCTCAGGACTTGGCGCGGGTGGTGTAATGGCTTGCCTCAACTCCTGGCGGACGATTTCGGCAACAGATGCGACTGGCGGTTGGGCAGGGGGAACGCAGAAGGCCCGAAGTTACTCACGCAGTATTTTCCTAATCATTTGTCGCAGAGAACTTTCGCATACGGCAGTGTTCTGAGCTGCAGCACTTACTGCCGTGTGGCTCTGCAGGCGGTCAAAGTGTCGGCGTCGTTGTTGCAGTGCGCGCTCGATGACTGTCGCCTCTCTTATGAATTCATCTACTGTTGTAGGTGGATTCCGTACGAGGCCCGCAAACACTTGTTCCTTAACACCCTGCAATAAATGACGCACCTTTTTCGTCTTGGGCATGTCAGGGTCAGCTCATCGAAACAGACGGATCATACCCTCTGCGTACATGGCGGCTGTTTCATTGGGTTTTTGCACGCGTGCCTCAATCACTTGCTGTGCGCGATCCCGTCGGACCGAGTTCAAAAATGTAGCGAGGAGCTTTCGACGGAAGTCTTCCCAAGATTGGAATGTAGCCTCGCGGTTCTCATACCACGTGCGAGCGCTATCTTCTAGCGCGAAATATGCACGGCCAAGTTTGTGCTGTTCGCTCCAGTGGTTGGATACAGCGACCCGTTCGAACTGTTCGAGCCAGTCCTCGACATCCTCGTACTCTTCCCCACGGAAAACTTCAGAAACGCGAGGATGTTGAAGAGTTACCTGTGAGGGAAAAGTGGTCTGCGATGATGTGATAACCGTGGATGTCGTAGGAGCTGCCATGCTGGAAAGAGGCGGAACAGGTGCGGACTCTGGACTTAGGCCTAGTAGGCGCCGACTGAATCAGTGCACTGGAGTCGTGACGAGGGGCTGAGTTTCTGGACTAGGTGAACGGGTCCGAGCAAGACTGTCCTGCATCAGGTTGTAGGCCCCAGCACTTCCACCAGTGTCACAACGTCAAAACAGAGGTCTTCCCGCATAAACTGAGACACCAGAAGCAGGTAGGTTCTTTTAATAGAACGCGCAAGAGAGTTCTTCTTTTTTGTCCATTTCGTAGTCCTTCGTGGCACATGCACAACTGCCATCGTCTTTCCTGAGCAAGCACGTGACAATATTACGTAACGCGAATGGATAACGAAGGTATGTGACTGCATGGGGCAAACATGATCATCATGAGAAGCATGCCAGGTGAGATAATGACAACATGCCACAGTCAACGCACCAATAAATTTCGACATGACGCGGTGCGCGTGCTCGCCGGCGTTCACTTCGTTGCGTCACGCTGATGTTGCCCCGCCAGGCGCCATTCCTGCCATATACTCGCCGGCGCGCGCCGCGCTGCGTTACGCATACGCTGTTCAGCGCGTCCAGCGTCCCTCCATTACAAAAGGAGGGAGATGCAGCGCTGTCTGGGTAACGCATCGTGTAGCGCATATGTCGCATTTCGCGCCAGTTGCAATCGGGCCGAGCCGACAGACGCTGTTTGCGCCTGGCGTCAGACTACAACAGAGTGCTCGCGTTTTGCTAACGTAGCGTCGCTGTGCCCAGCGTGTGCGCGCGTCAACGCTACATTGGAATATACTGAGCCCTTCATGAAGCGTTCGCAGGCGTTTTTCTAGCTCCACATATACCAAATTTAGTGTTACGTGACGTAAATGGATGACAAAATATATGACTGGAGCAAACATGAAAATCCTGACTCAATATATGACTGGTGCAAACATTAAAATCCTGACACGCGTGTGATGTAAGAACATGACAACCTTCGAATAACGCGTTCGACGCGTTATTCGAAGGTCGTAGGTTCGATTCCTGCTCACGGCAAGTTATTTTTTCACCCACTTTTCTTTGTTCTTATTCACATTACATCGGTTCTAATAACTCCCCCTATACATTCCTTGGCATTATTGTCTGTTAGTCTGTTAGATCTCATGAATATTGTGTCAAAACACGGAAAAACGAGCCCTTAGGTATACACGTCTTTCCCTTATATATATATATATATATATATATATATATATATATATTATATATATATATATATATATATATATATATATATATATATATATATATATATATATATATATATATATCAATTCCAGCATATCGAGTTCCACATGTTTTCTCAGATGTATAAGCTGTTGACAAGGAGTGTGTCAAGCTTCGTTAGAGAACATAATAAACCTTCGTTCATGGGCTTCACGGTCACTTTAACATCACCAAAAATATATGAAAAATATGTAAAATATATGAAGGCGCCTTGTCCTGTGTTCATGAATGACCGTTTCTTTTTCGCGCTTCACCATCATGAACATCCCAGACGTCGAAGTTCAAAGCATGATCGAGTGTCCTGCACAATATTTGGTACAGTTGACAAGCTTGTTTTGCATGTAAAGAGAATAATTACCTTCCCGCGAATGTACAGTACGATTAAAGATCTCATAACTACAAGCATTACGTAATTGAAAAAAGTGTTTTTATTGCTCATTCAACACCCTGGCTTAAGCGAAGGCTACATAAGTGCACTAGCTTGTTCACTTCAAAGTCACGCAGACTGAGAAGAAAAAAAAAGTGGCCGCGGAAGTTTCCTATAGCTGGTACACTTCTAAGCCACGTAGACTGGAGAAAAAAATTGGCTACAGAAGTTCTCTATATAGCTAGTCAATTTCAGAGCCATGTAAACTGGAGAAAAAAATTGGCTATAAAGTTCTCTAGCTATCCACTTCAAAGCCATGTAGACCGGGGACGAAAATTGGCTGCAAAAGTTCTCTAGATAATCAATTTGAGAGCCACGCAGACTGGGAGAAAACATTTGGGAAAGGGTGTGCGGGGGGCAGATCGAAGCTTTGTTGAAACCCTGATCACCACACTTTCCTAAAGTAGCAAGTATTTAAAACTTTCAAGTGACAAATTAAGCAGTCACTATTCAAAATGCGAGTAGTATGAATTTTTCAAACTGCAAACCACGTGCATTCTGGTGGCCACGGTATACCTATGCAGTGAAGTATGCATTACGACAGCCATTCTTGCCAAATGTTGCTAGATTAACTCAAGGTATAACTCATTCCTATGTTATTGCTTTAATTGGTTACTATTAACTATGCTCCATGACATAGAACATGACATTTTTATATACTGGGGTGTGTAAGTTATAATATGTATACTGGCGCTGGTTGGGCAAAGATGTGCACCACAGTAAAATTTAAGGAGCCACATTCAATGATAGTCTGTGCTCCCAGACGGTCACCTTTTGCTTCTGAAGTGCCTTTACGAGATGTGCCTTGGAGACCACCTTGCCAGCATAAACTATGTTGGTAGCTCTGTCGGTGAACTCGTAGCATTTTGCGAATCCACCCTGTAAATGAACAAAGGGCGATATCTATCAATATTCGACCCACCCGAAAAGAACCGCAGCGACATCGGTGGAGTTCAAAGCTCAAAGGAACGTTAGGAGAGAAAACTTATAATAGGCTATCAACACTAGAAGTTCCTCTGTCACGGTAGTGCCAGATTGGGCAGCTACAATTAACATTCACCGTAAAAGTGGTCTTTTAATGAGGCAAGACTGCCTTAGAAAATTGGCGCCCGCATCTTCCCACGAGGGCAACTCGAATGAATGCGTCGCACAGGGAGGAGGGTATCACGAGAATGTTGCGTAATTGAGTATGATTTTAGAAATGTTTAATTGTTATTTCGTCTTTATTATTCTAATTTATTGAATTAAGAAAAAGCAAGGGAAGGATGATGATGATGATGATGATGATGATGAAAAACATTTATTATAAGAGAGAGAGGTACGGGGCCAAAGCATGACCCCGCTACATAGTCGGCGTCCTTAGTCCGGGACACCGCATGACGAGGCCCCTACTCGCGCCCGTCTCACCAGAGCCCGTTGAGACTCTAGTGATGAGCAGTTGAGGAGGGCAGTCTCCCATGCCTCTCGGGAAGGGGTAGGGGAAGGGGGTAGGTGGGGATTTTTCGAACATGCCCATACCATGTGGAAGATATCACTGCGGCGTACACGGCCGCAAAGACATAACCCCTGGATCACAAGAGAAATTCTACACGCAAAGCGGAAAGTCAAACGACTTCGGAAAGCAGTAAAAAAACAGTGCTGCAGTGCGAATACATCAAAATTAAAAACAGCTATTTCACACTTTAAGGCCAAAACAAAGCAAGCAAAACAACATTATTTTGAAGTAACGCTACCGTCATTCATTACTGGTAACCCACAAAGGTTCTGGAAGCATTTCAGCCGTAGAAAAAACAGCAGTCCTGAACTTTCGTTGCAACAGAAAACGGCGAAATCTAATATGTACAACAACTATTTCCACTCTGTTTTTACAAAAGATGACGGGGAAATTCCACAGCTTGCACACATGAATAATATTGGAATCAGCCCTATAGATGTAGTTGATGAAGGAATATTTTCTCTTTTGCTCGACCTAGACCCCAAAAAATCTTCGGGACCAGATGACATCCCCAATCCCTTTCTTAAGCGATATGCCGAATGGTGCAGCAAATACCTTGGTATGGTTTTCCGCAAATCTCTCGCCGTAGCAAAACTTCCAGACGACTGGAAAAAAGCTAAAATAGTACCAATTCCCAAAGCAGGAAATAGCGATAATCCTTCAAACTTTAGGCCAATATCTTTAACCAGCACGTCATGCAAAATAATAGAACATATAATTTTGAAACACTTAACCGTTCTTTTAGAAAGTAATGGCGTTTTGTCATCTTGCCAGCACGGGTTTCGCAGTGGATTATCGACTACCACGCAACTAACAGAAGTTGTTCACGATTTAGCATTATCTATTAACAACTGCACGCAAACGGATATTATACTATTAGACTTTGCAAAAGCGTTTGATTCCGTATGCCACAACAAATTAATTGCAAAACTTCGAAGTATTATTGGAGATGGAATATTAACAAATTGGGTTAAGGACTTCTTAACTAATCGTTCACAATATGTCCTGTATGACCAAGTACCATCAGAAAACTTGCCTGTTACGTCCGGAGTACCACAAGGCTCCGTTTTGGGGCCTTTGTTATTTCTTGTTTTTATTAACGATATCACAGACAGTATCTCTTGCACCATTAGGCTTTTCGCCGACGACTGCATTATTTACAAAGAAATTAACAGTCACTCAGATCACCTTGCACTAAGCGATTCTTTACACCATCTTTCCAACTGGTGCGACATGTGGCAAATGTCGATTAACCCCAAAAAAAAACAGTGTGCATGACGATAACCCGAAAAAAAGAAGCTATCCAGTATGACTACAGGATTAAAGGCACCAGGCTTGCAAAAGTGAATGCGCACAAATATTTAGGCGTCACGATAACGTCAAGCCTCAGATGGGATACGCACATTTCTAACATTACTTCGGTTGCTCTGCGCAAGCTCTTTTATCTTCGCAGATGCCTTCGGTTGGCCCCTCACTCAACCAAGCTTTTAGCCTATACTACTTACGTAAGACCGGTATTAGAATATGCTAACACAGTATGGTTTCCTTATACAGTCACTAACATTCAAAAGCTAGAAAACGTACAGAGGAAGGCAGCAAGATTCATCTGCAACAAATATAAGCGCACTGATTCTCCTACAAATATGTTAGCAAGCTCTGGCCTCCAAACACTTGCGATTCGAGCGAAACAAGCGCGCCTTAAATTTCTTTTTCAGCTACTTCACAACCATTATAAAATTGACCCATCATTGTACATCCGTCCGTCAGACTCCCGCGTTATTAGGCACAAACATTCATACACACTGAAAGAGTACTCTTACCGCAATGACACGTTCAAACACTCCTTTTTTCCACTTGTCATAAGGGAATGGAACTGTTTGGATTCCTCCATAACTAGTGCGAAATCGGTATCCGACTTTGCACTAAAATTAGAAAATATGTTCTCTTAATGCGGCAATACTCGCATTACCAGAAGCATTGCGCCACCAGTGAAAGCGTATTAGTGGAGTGTACAAGTGTCAACTGGAGTGTTTGGAAGTTAGCTATTTGTTTGCCGGTGTACCACTGCACTTCATGCAAAATTTGTGTTCTTTTTGGTGATGGTTTCTTTGTCTTTGCAGATGTAAACAATTTGTATATTTTTCGCGCTTGTACTTTGTGATGACTGTCATTTCACTACATTTCTGTTAATGTACCACCTGCATGTACAATCTGTACGCCCACCTGCTATGGTCTCGGAATGAGACTGGCAGTATTGAAAATAAATAAATAAATAAATATCACACGTCTCCCCACAGTGTGGGCACCGCCCATCTGTGTTCGCATCGAAATGTTTTAGGATTGCAGGACAGAGTAGAGTACCTGTCTGCAGGCGCCTTAGAGTTCGCTCTTCCGCCTTACTCAGCCCCTTTGCAGGAGCCGGGTAAAGGCGGTGAGTGTCGCGATAATAGGTTAGAATTTCTTTGAACCGCAGCAGCGGTGTATTGGCCTCCGAGTCATAAGAGCCAAGGTGAGGAGCCCGGTGGGTAAGCGCTCGGGCGGCCGCGTCAGCGGCCTCATTACCTCGTAAGCCCTGATGGCCAGGAGCCCATACGATGCGTTTCGGGGCTGGATCAGCGAGAGCCCGTTTTAGAATTTGGCTGGCTAGGGGGGATATCTCTCCTACCAAGTAATGAGTACATGCTTTCCTGGAGCCCGTGATGATAACTTTCGAGTTGGGGTCCGCAGCAGCAAGCGCTATCGCGACTTCCTCAGCGCGCTCTGGATTTTGTGCAAGGGAAGGAGTGTAATGTTAAAGTGTATCTTTATTGCTTGGTGCCATCGTTCTGTTGGCCGGAAAGCAGACGCCCTTGACTGAATCCCGAACGCGCGCTCCGCCGCTGATACCAACGCCGAGTTGCTGATACACACACCGCCCGCGCTCGAGGGAGAGGAGACGAACATGCGCAGCGGTTGTGTGGACGGCGCCGACGGGACAGCCTGACATCATGCGACTAAAGGCCTGGCCCCACGTATCCATCGCAGCGCGTCGGCGCGAGGCTTTTTGACGCGGCGCTGCGCCCTCTCCGTATAGGAGAGTGGGCTCGTGGCTACGCGAAGCCGCGCGCTCTCTTCCTCCGTATGGGAGAGGGCTCGACGCCACGTCAGAAACACACACGTCGACGCGCTGTGACGGATACGTGGGGTCAGGCCTTGAAGGGCCACTCACCAGGTCCCAAACCAAATTTTAGTTAGACCTTGGAAGTTGTTGGGTGTCCGATGAGAAATGTTTTGCCACTATAAATGAATGGTAAAACTTTATTTCGTCAGAAAGCAACTGCGAATGATTCCGTGTTAGAGGGCCATCAATCCAAGGTTGGCGGCGACCTGTGTGGCCCACTCCACGACCCTTAACGGGACGACTGGGTCTGAGCTGGTCAACATGGCTTCCCAGTGCTCAGGAGAGGAATCACGCATAATATCTATCGGCGGCAGCACTATGCTACATTCCCAAAGTATGTGATCATATGTTGCCATAGCCTGGCACCATTTGCATTGCGGCTTTATCTCCTCCGGGTATATTTTGTTCAACACGTAAGGGTTGGGAACCATTTTTTGAATCGGTTCATTACGACCTGAGAAACCTGTTTTTTTTTTTTTGAAGTGGTGTGAAGCGAGGACGAGAGGAGACGAGCTCGAAACCCTTGCCGCTCCTCCACAGTCTTCGCAAGCCAAATCTCTTCCTTACCCTCTCCGGCATCCGATGAAGAGGTAACGTGCGCATGGCCTAGGTGGCTTTGGCATGACGTGCCCGAACAAGCCCAGCCCCCGTTGCACGCGAGCGGCGTTTTAGGGGCGAAGCTTTTTATAGTGGCACTCGTTCGTCCCCGTTGTAGTGTGTAACAAGTATAACATTTTGACCTCCAAGGTGGTGCCGGTGAGAGATTTCTCCTGTGCGTTGTCGAACAATAAAAATAGTGCTCAATGTACATGCCAATGGCTGCTAATAAGGAATTAGAGACAGAAGCATTCGGATTTTAGTTAACGCGCACACTGCGATCCCCATTAGCAGCCATTGGCATGTACATTGAGCACTATCTGACAAAAAAGGGTTGCTACTTGATACTCGCTGGGAGTAACCTTCTTAGTTTTAGAAAGGTTTCGCGAGCGTTGAGCCGCAGTGCCATGAATACAATAAACTAGTATATACCATGAACTCGAGGTGGTTAAAGATGGGAAGTAGATACGAAGCGCAAGCCGTAAGAAAGTAAAAGCCGAATTCTCCCGTCTCTCATTTACCATTAGCAGCTACTGGCATGTACATTGAGCAGTATCTGACAGGAAAAGGTTGCTACGTTATACTCGCTGGGCGTAACCTCCCTGGTTTTGGAAAGGTTTAGCGAGCGTTAGACCGCAGTGCCATGAATACAGTGAACTAACATATACCATGAACTCGAGGTGGTTAAAGGTGGGAAGTGGGAAGTAGACCCGAAGCGCAAGCCGTAAGAAAGTGTGCGTGTGCCACCTCTCGCTTAGTCTTTGGAATGTCCGCTGGATGGCGGTGCTTCTATATGGGGAATATATGATGAAAAGATGCGAGATGGTGGTGCTTGGAGTGCTGAATAGATGGACGAACGGACACACAGACAGATGCATGGATGGACGAATGAACGGACGCAGGGGCGGATGCATGGACGAACGAACGAACAGACGCACGCACGGATGGGTGGATGGACGCATGGACGGACACACAGACGGACGCATGGACGGACGGAAGCAAGAACGAATGGATGGACGAATGCTTCACCCAACTCTCCATCATTCACTCCGTGGATATGCTGCCATTTTTTTTTGATCATGCAGAGTTATTTCGTGTCGTGGTCTACTGCCTGTTTCTGCGGGATGATTCGGAAACGCTGGCTTAGACGCGGTAGAATAGATGAGCACAATGAGTTCGCGAACGCGTAGGAGCGTTCCACGGCTGTCGTCTGCTCGATGGGCTGACCGCGGACAGGAACGCATGCGAAACGCCGGCACATTAGCCCTGCATCTCCTTGCAACTCACGGTGAAAAAAGAAGAGAAAAAAAAAGTGCTCACTGAATGGCCGTGTACGTAGGGCCATTCTTACGCGAACCTCATGTTCTCATTCGCTGGGCACGCGGCCACAAAAGGAAAAGGGAGCAGCGTTAATACTGAAGTGTGACCCATTTCCGCGGCGCGTAGCGTTGCAAATTTTGACAATGAAAATTTGACGTGATCATGAACGCCTCATCTACCCATTTCGCTTGTCAGCTCAAAATTGTCAAACCTGGTCAGTGCCCCTTAAAGGACCACTCGCCAGGTTTGACAATTTTGAGCTGACAAGCGCAATGCGTAAACGAGGCGTTCATGATCACATCTGGCAAAATTTGCAACGCTACGCGCCGCGGAAATGGGTCAAATTTCAAGATAAAAGCTGATCGCCCTCCCCTCTACCGGAGCACGCGTAGAGAATGAGAGCATGACGTAGGCGTAGGAATGGCCCTACGTACACAGCAATACGGTCACGTTGGTCCTCTACGTTGACGACTCTGCTCTGACGTTGTCAACAGTATACCACGTGACATGGCAAAAATTATTTAACGCAACATGCGTAGTTTATGTATTTCTTGCTTTAAGATATGAGTAAAACTTGAAATAAATAATAATACGCAATAAAAAATTGTGCACGTTTTTCTTACATTTTTCCCCCGTGAAACGCTACGAGATGCGGGCATTAGCCCGCATCTCGTAGCGTTTCACATGCGTTCGGGTTCCCGCGGTCAGCGCATTGAGCAGACGACCGCCGTGGAAGGCTCCTACGCGTTCGCGCACTCATTGTGCTCATCTACTCCACCGCGTCTAAGCCAGCGTTTCCAAACCATCCCGCAGAAACAGGCAGAAAACCACAAAATAACGCTGGTCAACAAAGCAACGCCGCTAGCGTGCACGGGGGCTGGGCTTGTTCGGGCACGTCACCTTTTCCTTCCTCCGTGGGGCACGTCACGCGCACGTCACTTCATGGTCGGATGCCGGAGAGGGTGGGGAAGAGGTTTGGCTTGCGAAGGCTACGCGGATGAGTGGCAAGGGTTTCGAGCTCGTCTCCTCTCACCCTCGTTTCGCGCCGCTTCAATAAACTTGTTTTCTCAGCTCGTAATGAACCGATTCAAAAACTTTTTGTGGCAAAACGTTCCTAATCGGACACCCAACAACTTCCACTGTCTAACTAAAATTGGGTATGGGGCCTGGTGAGTGGCCCTTTAAAGAAATACTCCACATTTAAAAAAAAGATTCTATGTGTACGTGTGATGAAACTATACGGTCTGAGAGCTTGGGAAGTACGCAAAGGTGCCAGCCAGTTGACCTAAGAGCAACAAGCGATTGCTTAGCGAATAATAAAATAGCTCACTCATGCTTGGCTAGGCATCAGCCTTGATTGTGCGTGCACTGGTGCACGCTAGTGTGCATCTGCCGAAATATGCCGTGAGCGACGGCGATCTTTATTGGACCGCTTACAGCGGTTATATATGGGCGGGATGACACGAAGGCAAAACATCCAGTCAGTTCTACTTCGCGAACACTGTCGAAAAAGCGAAGCTGGGACCCATCCACCAGGACATTTTATGCCGGGGTCCAGCATGGCTCCACTAACGCATTTTTGTCACGAATATTATGTAATGTAATACTAAGAAATAGCAAAGAAAAACACTACAATAAAAAGTTTCGATGCTGAGAGTCGAACCTACAGCCACTCATCCCAATTCCCAAGCCCACCCCTTCCTCTAAGAAGTGTGCACTGCTCAGTAGTAGTAGTAAACAAGTTTCCCACGCCCACCTCTTCCTCTAATAAGTCTGCACTGCTCAGTTGTAGCAGTAAACAACTTGGTAAGGAAAGCCATTGGTTTCCTAAGCTGCACTGGTCAGCTTACGCCAAAAGGAACAGCAGCAGCTGGTTCAATGGGCTCGCAGGTCGCAAATTGCAACAGAGAGGAGAGGCCCATTCAACAAAAGGCCTCTGTACATTGGCTAATAAATGTATTCTTTTTGTTCCCATCTAGCTTCTCAGATGCAATCCTGGAAAGTTACTTGCCGTAAGTTTCCCGTGTGCTGCACCCGAAAACGCAGCAAAAGGGTTTTGCGAACACAGAATGACTGAAAAGAGCAATCCGAAACAAACAAACAAAAAAAGACGCGAAACGTAGTGCACATATGTTCAGCTCACCGTGTTGGGCACCTATACGTAGGTCGAGCTATAGAGAGAGACGTAGAAAAATAAAACAAGCGAAAGGAATGGCGCGCGAGGGGCACGTGACGACGTTAGGCCAATCGTTCATCGAGGGAACGCGCAGGCGAGGAGGACAGGAGCAGTTAACAAAAGATGATGTTTTTTTCATTGTATTCAGAGACTTTAGCTAACATCACTTTCACATAATCAACACGATTAAAAAAAGAAGGTTGAGTTGCCGCACTACTCGACGTCACTGCATGCTCGCGGTTCCCCAGAGCCCGGGAAAACTACGACATGTACAGTGTCGCCAAAACAGTTTGGGAAGCGGACATTTCGGAGCGGGAGATGGTAGCAGAGGATGAAGGGCGATTAGGTCACACGATATCACATACGTGTAGCCCGAAAGCCGCCTCAACGGTTATAAAAGTCATAAGGGTGGTTGAAGCTAGGGGCATTGGAAATCCTTTTGAGGCAGAAAACTAGCAAGTCCAGAGGAAAGTTAGCCCTTAACGAGAAAGTTCCGCGTCGCGAACACACACCGACAGGAGCGTTGCCAAGGCAGCGCAGCCCATTCAGGCTACAGCTTAACTTAGTAAACAGCGCACCTTGCCGAGGAAGTTGCCGCGCACGTATTCTCTGCTGGTTATCTTGTCGATGATGAGGTCTGGCAGGCCTTTCTGAACGGTGGTGCCGGCTTTGGTTGGAATAGCGGAGGCCATTGCGACGCAGCAGCTGAATTCGTTGGAACGCGCGTGCTGCTCGTGCACGTTCTTCTTCTTTATCTCTTCTCATGGCTCTTACCCAAGAAGCTTTGAATGCAGCGGTGGGTAGGTCAAACTAAAAGAATATTGAGCTAAATTGTTCATCCTTTTACACATTCCTATGCTAATATTCCGCAATTAAATTTGTTGCATTAACTATTCCTAGCTTATACGAGAAGTATTGCGAAGGAACACTTAAAAAAATTACCTAACACTCGTGCACGTTGTAATGATTGTCGTGATTCTTGTTCTTCTTCACCTTCTCTTGTGGTTCGTACCCGCTGTTGTGCCTCGCCCAAGTTCCACGTGGTCTTCGCGGCCTGCTGGCACCTGGCAGCTGTTGATGAGTCAACCCTGCACCGGGACGGCGACGGACGCGGACAATCTGGAAAAACCACGTCGCCGGCTCCTCTTGACACAAAAGTCGTTGGCCAAGCTTTTGTCAGCCGCCGAGAGCAACACTCCGAAGCAGCGTCGACCCAGCAGCTGTACGGGGTATTCTGCCTTGCTTGAGTCAACCTGGCTGCATCAGGGAGCGACTTTGCGCCTGGGATTCCACGTCATCTCACTGTGGTGCCACGCTGGCGCGTGGGGTCTCCCTCACCAAACAGCGAACTGGGCATGTCTTGCCCCTTTCCTAGGTTCAGAGGGAGGCGGTGTTTGGCTTTCCCTCTTCGGGGACGGAGAGGAAGACGACGATCTCATTGGAGTATCCTGCGCATAAATTTTCTTTGCAAGGGATCTTGGGAAGGCGGACGATGTATAAAAACGCTAGCGCAGAGGCGCTCGTGTGTGATTCTCTTTTCATGTTGTACCACGCTACCATGTAAATACTGTATATAAACATTTTTTTCTCCTTCTCCGGCTTCTCTACTCGTCCTCTCCGGGGACTCGGATGGCCCGAGTCCGCACCACGCTACCCAAAGGCGCAACAGTGGTGGCAGCGGTGGGATTCGCCTGCGTCGGCTGCATCGAAGTGGTGAGTGCCGCGTGTTTGCTCTTCTTTTCGCCAGACTCGTTAGCGCAGATGGTCGGTAACGTGGTAGGGTGATTTTGGTAAATTTTGATTCGCAGACCAAGAATTGGGTGGCTCGTGGGCAAAATTACCTTAGAAGAGAAACGGTGTGCATATCTAAGATGGAGAAGTTTAAGGTCCAAGAACTCCTCGAAATTTGTCAGGAGCTGAATATTTCGGTCGGCTCGGTTAAAAGAAAACAACAAATTTTGGAGCACTTGGGAAAAGAGGAAGTGAGTTTAGAAGAGGCCATTGAGGCCAGAGAAACCATTTTGGCAAAGAAAGAGGAGCGTGAGCGCTTAGCCCGTGAACAAAGAGAGGAGGAAATAAGGAGGGATCGCGAGGATAAAGAACATGAAATCCGTCTGAAAGAACTGGAGCTTCGTATGTCCGTGGGAAATCAAAATTCAGGGGGTGGAGAATCAAAGATAAAGGATCTAATCCACACCTTCAAGGCGGGTGACGACATTGCATTATACCTCGTGCATTTTGAGCGAGCATGCGAAAATGCAGGGTTTAGTAGGGAGACTTGGCCACAAAAACTGATATGCGTACTACCAGGCGAAGTGTCCGATGTTATCGCAAGAATGAATAAAGAGGACTCCGAGGTGTATGACAGGGTAAAGGCTGCATTGCTACGAAAATGTCGCCTATCGACAGAGGCTTTCCGCCTGCGGTTCAGGCACTCTAAGAGGGGCAACGAATCTCATTCAGACTATGCCTACCAAATTAGAGCCAACTTTGAAGAGTGGCTCAAAAGCGCGCAAGTCTATGGCAACCATGACAAGGTCATTGAGTTGATGGTACTTGAGCAGTTTTACCGGGGAATTCCCGAGGAGGTAAGGCTTTGGGTGCAGGATAGGATGAAAGACGTAGACATGAACAGGGCAGCAGAACTCGCCGAAGATTACTGCTCACGCCGTAGTCTCCGCAATACACCACGAACTTCGGAAAAAAATGAAAAGGTAGAAAGCTGGTCGGGAAACCAGGGACGCAAGAGGTTTGCAAGAAATAACTGGAAACCCGAAAATTCCAAGTTATTAGACAATCAGCAGGGAAAGGACAGTGAGGGGACTAAGGCGGCACCTTCATCAGGTTCAAAGGCGCCTGGTGACATAGCGCATGCGTTAGAAGCGCGGAAGCCAGTTGTTTGCTACAGCTGCGGAGAAAAGGGCCACATGGCCAGGAGCTGTAAGAGGCACATGGCATTTGCCACAATTCAGGAGTCAGAGGATAGCTTAAAGCTGTTGAAGCCTTACATGAGGACACTCTCAGTGAACGGCCGAATGTGTAGGGTATTGAGGGACTCGGCGGCCACAATGGATGTAGCGCATCCAAGTTGCGTATCTTCCGAAGACTATATAGGAGAGTGTGCCTGGATTCGGCAAGTGGCAGAAAAGCAAAGCGTCTGCCTACCGATAGCGAGGGTTGTAATCGAGGGCCCTTTCGGCCAATTGTGTACGGAAGCAGCAATTTCAGCCAACCTCCCGGAGCACTTCCCTTACCTATTTTCAAATAAGTCTGAGGAAATGTTAAAAACACGTGGAGAATCATTTGCCACCGAAATAGCTTGCATGGCCCTTACCCGTTCGAAGGCGCGCGAGCTGACGCAACAGCTGAGCAGCTCACCCTCTGGGGAACAGACGTCCGAGGGCAGTGTAGGAAAACCTGAGGTAGTTGCGACGGAAAATGAGTCTGCCATGCGAGTTGTCGAGACGGAAACTGGGGCTATGGTCGACAACAGCGAGGAAATATCTCTAACGCCCGAAAACGAGGACTTGGTGACAGGCTCGGTGTTAACACCCGCGTCCACCAGTTGGTGTCAGCTAGCCAGAACCGACCGTGCAACGCTAGTGGTCGATCAAAAGGCGGATCTCGCACTCTCTATGCTGCTAGATGCCATACATAAGGAAGGTAACTCTAGGAAGAACGTTTCGTTCTACACCCAAAACGAGGTGTTGCATCGCAGGTATGAGAACGCTAAAGGGCGGGTCTACAACCAAGTGGTAGTTCCACTAAAATACCGGCGGAACATTCTCGACCTGGCCCACAGCAACGCCTGGGCGGGCCACTTAGGTATAAAGAAAACGAAAGCTAAGCTGGCTCAGGAGTTCTACTGGCCCGGGTGCTGGAAGGATGTAGAGATGTTTGTCCGTGGATGCGACACTTGTCAGCGGATAGGAAAATCAACAGACAAATGGAAGGCACCAATGAAACTAGTGCCAATAGTCACAGAACCCTTCCGTCGGCTCGTGATTGACATCGTGGGGCCTCTGCCTCCATCTAAATCAGGATATCGGTACGTCCTGACCGCGCTGTGCGTTGCCACCAAGTTCCCGGAGGCAATCGCACTGAAAGAGTTGAGTTCAGTATGCGTGGTGGACGCATTGTTGTCTATTTTTTCTCGGGTGGGTTTTCCCTCGGAGATACAGTGTGACAACGGAAGTGTGTTCACAAGCTGCCTTACGACTACATTCCTAGAACGCTGCGGGATAAAAATCGCGCATAGCTCTATTCACCATCCACAGTCGAACCCTGTGGAACGCATGCACTCGGTCATGAAACGCGTTTTGCGAGCTTTGTGCTTTGAGCATAAAAGTGACTGGGAGGGGTGTATACCAGCTGCGATGTTTTCTCTGAGGTCGGCCCCACACGAGAGTACGGGTTTTAGTCCGGCTGAACTTGTCTACGGCAGGAACTTGAGAGGTCCGCTGCACTTAATACGAGAGTCATGGACTGGATATGGGGAGGACCCTAATGTAGTTTCCTATGTACTGGATTTATTGGGGCGACTGGGGACTACACGCGAAGTGGTGGAGAGCAACATGCGCGCAGCACAGGCGCTTTCCAAGGCCCGTTACGATAAGTCAGCTCGAAAGCGAGTCTTTAGAGTGGGCGATGAGGTGATGCTGTTGTGCCCTTCAAGAAAAAACAAGCTGGACGTACAATGGGAGGGACCAGCGACAGTGTTGTCAGTGCTTTCAGACACCAACTACGAGGTAAAGTGGGGCCGGAAATGCCCCAAAGTGTATCACAGTAACCTAATGAAACCCTACATGCGACGAAAAGCAGTAGTAAACCTTGCACTCAATGTTCCTGAGGATGAGGGCGCGGAAATCCTTTGTCTTTCCGATGGCACGGTCAGCAGCACATTGTCCGATAGGGTAGACACAGGGAAACACCCTAAGTAAGGCTCAAGAGGAAGATTTAGAGCTTTTAGTACAGGAATTCGCTACCGTTTTCTCCGAGAAGCCAGGCAAAACGGATGTGATTAAGCACGACATTGAGCTGACGGTTAACAAGCCGATCAGCTGTAAGCCGTATCGGGTGTCACCTAGACAGAGAGAGATACTAGAGGCCGAAATTCGCCGCATGATCGACCTAGGTGTTATCATCGAAGCAGACAGTGATTTCACCTCGCCTTTGATTTTGGTTGAGATTCCGGGCCGTGATCCAAGGCCATGCGTGGACTATCGCCGCCTGAACTCTGTAACAGTCGACCAGACTTACCCTATTCCTAACATTGAAGAGAGGGTAGAGACAGTGTCTAAGGCGAAATACATTTCTACGTTAGACCTTGTTAGGGGGTATTGGCAGGTCCCTTTGACAGAGCGCGCGAGTCGATACGCTGCTTTTATCTCACCCCTGGGCACTTTTCGTCCTTTGATGATGAGCTTTGGGCTCAAGAACGCGCCGTATTGTTTCAGCCGCCTGATGGATAAGGTTCTCCACGGGCTCGAGAAATTTGCGCTGCCTTACCTAGACGATGTGGCGATATTTTCGGACAAATGGTAAGACCATGTTGAACACCTTCGGATGGTTTTGGAACGGGTCAAAAATGCAGGTCTTACGGTTAAAGAGAGAGAAATGTCATTTGGGCTGTGCTGAAGTAAGCTATTTAGGGCACATTGTAGGAAATGGGCGTCGTCGACCGTCCGAACTC